GGGACATGGTTTAGTGGTGGGCTTGGCAGTGTTAGGATAATTGTTGGACTTGAAGATCTTAAAGGTCTTTTCTAACCAAAATGATTCTATGATTTTAATAAATAGACATATCTGTACAGAAATGTATTTAAATGCATGGCCATCTTAAAAAGAGAAATACATCTTAAAAAATATCACCATTTTCCAAGAGTCCAGGATCTTCTCTACCGTTACAGGAAGCATCTTTTTGCCACAGCAACCCTCTGCACCCCAGCCATGCAGTTCAAGAGGAAGTTGTAGTATGGCAGGAGATCCTCTGCTTCCAAAGAGCACATCGCAGGCTATTTTAGCTATATAGTCAAGAGCAGTGCTGGTCCCAGATCTTGTAGCCGCTGGCTTCCATTCCGGCAGCTGGATCTAGACACCCCTTACTACCGATTGTTCCCAACACACAGTCTGCAGACAGCTGAGCACAGCCAGTTCACTATCGACCTGCTGGTGACTGGACTATTCAGAAGAAATCAGACACCTTCTTTCTTTTAGGAAGCTGCAGTAAGTTGTCTGTGATCGATGTAGTGTCCTGAGATACTGGTGTCTGAGACACTGTCCTAGACTGGGGGGTGCTTGTGGGTGTATGAGGCCCATTTGCTGGGGTCTTGTAACCGGGAGTGCCTGTGTGGGCTGGGGAAGGAGTATAGCTGGCTCGCAGGGCTTTGTCGGTGTATTTACTTGCAGTCCTGTTCACTAGTCTCTGCAAAGCTGGCGACATCACTGGGCTCAGCCCTTTTGGCGTGAGGCTGGAATAAAACAAACCGTTTTAAAGGATTTTACAGTAAAAATCTGTGATTTTTCAGGAGAGCTTCAATGCTTCTACAGGCAAGCTTGGTGTCTGCCACCCCCACAGACCAGACCCACTGGCAGCAGAAGTCATTCTGCCTGCAGGTAAATGAAGCCTGTCTCTCTGGAGAGAGAAGTGACAGAAACCTCACAGAAATGAGTGGCGCTGCCTGCCCTTCCCTCTGAGCCTGTTCTGTCCCTCCCGTGACACAGTCAAGCAAGCCTTATCATGTCTCCTCTGTGCAATGAGGCAGGACAGCGATCCAGATGCACTGCTGGGTGGCTGCAGGGCAGAACAGTAATGCTGACGAGAGGGAGTATCAGGGACTGCCACCAGCCACCTTCCCTCAGGAATCAATCGAGTTTTAAGTTCTAAAAGCTTTTAGTTTGACTTTACCTTTTCCTGCTTCCAGTAGTCTTATCGTTCCTCCCTTTCTACATACACGGATTTAAACCTGATCAGAAAATACCCACCCCCAGTTCTGCTGTCAGAACAGAAGTCTCACCTGGCCAAGTTTTCTGTCACTTTTCGAAGCGCCTCCTGCTTCTTTGCTCGGTTTTTAGCTGCCACTTCGTTGGCCATCTTGAGTCCTAACCTCTCACGACGCCCAGGCTCCAGGATCTAGAAATGCATCACACAGTTCACTCACCAAGGCACTCATAGGAGTGCTGCATGAAAGAGTCAAAGCACCTTCACAGCAGGATTCCAGCCCACAGGGACCTAAACCCAGGAGAAGTGGGGTCAGCCCACACCTCTCTGCTGCTCTGTAAGAGGCAGGACACAGACAGACCTCCAACCTGCCTTAGCAAGCAACGAAAACAGTAAAACCAGTTCAGTCAAGGAAGCAGCCACTACCTCTGGCACTTCCTCCTGCTGTCTCTCCTAGACAATGTCACCTGTGTCTTGCCTAGCCTTGCCTCTACCCAGCCAGCTCTCAGGCAAACACAGACATGGCTAAACAGCAGGAGAACCAGCCAAGGGCTTCAGAGTCTGACAAAACAGAGGCACAAACAGCAAATGACACCTTTTTTAAGCTAAGAGTTTCAGACAGCTCATATTTCATGACACCAGCAGGAGACAGGTGGCATGCAGGGCCATGTGCCATTAGCAGAGCCAGAGCACCTTTTCTACTCTCAAGTGATACATTTGCCTCAGGCTGTGACAGCCAGAAGATCAAGACAGACGGAAATCCTACAATTTCTGCCCATTCATACATTAAACCCAGAGAAATCAGGTGTCTCTTCAGCTTCCTCTGAAAGCCTCTCTGTCCGGGCCCATCCAATATTCTCAGTCTCCTGCCAACTGTGTGTGTTCCACCTTCGAGTATCTCCACCAGGCAGCTTTCATGTGGAGCCATGTCCACCTCCACTTTCCAAGTAGAACCTAGATCATCAGTCTCAAGGACTGGGAACACAGCCTAGAGAGGTGTCACAGTCCCACAACAACATTAATCTATTAGTTACTCACTGACCTTTCCCTTCTTAGTCCTTTCTCCCTCCCCAAAATGACATGCCAATTCAAAACACGAAATACCTTGAAGGCTGGTCCAGGCGTTCTGTCCACATACGGCGTTTCTGACCCTTCCAAGCGCAAAGGGGTGCTTTCAACTTCACCCCATGTCATAAAAGGAGACTCATTCACACCTAAAAACAAATTTAGAGTCATGCTGATGCAAGATATTTGACTATTCATTCCCTAGAAAAGATACAGAGAAGCAAATTATGAAATGCAGCAAATGCAACAACACACAAAGGAGCCCCTCCACTGCAGAGGAAATCACAGCCAATCTTGAATAGTAACATGTGGTTCCCATTAAAAGGGCATGACCTTAAACTCACAGGATGCCTTTGGCTGTGTCATCCTCTAGGTTACAACCACCAAACACTTGTCATTTCCACGTGTTTATTTTTCCATTTGGTGAGCTTTTGCTTAGTGACACTTCTGTTTTTTCCTCTACAGTGCTAGTCTTCCCCTCTGCTATGCTGTGAAGACTCCTTCAACACAGGTAACTATTTAAAAGCAGGGAAACGGGCAGAGGACTTAAGATAGAGGTAATAGCCAAACTTAGCCTCACTTCTTCTTGGGGCTAGCCTCTACCAAACAGTGACTGCACCTTGTCTAACAGCTATAACTGTAGAATAGATTCTAAGAGCCCGATTAAGTCACTGGTTAGAAAATCCTGCTGTCCAGGGTTTGGAAAAGGCATTTACAAGGGAAAAAGGAGGTGTGCTTCAACTGCCACCTACAGGCTTTCCGGAGGAAAAGCCTCAGTATGTTCTCCTTTTGGCCTAACAACAAGAGACAGGGAAACATAATGGCTGGTAAAGAACAGCTGAAAATTCAGACAAAACATTTCAACTGGAAGGAAAATAACCAGTTTGTTCTAACAAAGTATTCTGTGGCTAACACATCTGAACAAACGGAATCTATAATACACAGGTGTATCCAGACACAGGAAGAACCTAGAAAGCAGCAGACCTGGAGGAAAACAGTAGATTAGACTGTGACTGTGAAGGAAGTGAGATATGCCACATCCCTACGAGCCAGGCTGAACCATCACTCAGCAAACTACTGGACCCACTGACACTAATGCTCCTCATTTTGAAAAATGAGCACCCGAACTCATTGGAAGCTTAATGTTTGTGAAACCTTTGAATTCTTATCTTTAAACTCCAGAGAAGCATCACCCAGGGGTAAAAAAAGCAGCCACAGCACCCCAGTTGCCTAGGAAGGCTCACTGCCCTCTAGATGACTCCTAAACAAGGGCACAGCAGCTTGCTCAGAGCCTCCTGGGGACAGCAGGACTCCTCTTGCCAGCGTATCGGACTGGGATTGACGCACTGCATCGAGCTGGCATACATGGTACATGAGAAAGTCACCAGCTCATGAGACGTACGCAGATAGAAGGCTTACCTCCTTGTCTAAACCAACGATACCTCAGTGTGACCAAACAGAGCATCAAAACAAGTCCAGTAGCAGTCCTCTCACACCAGGGGAAAAAAAAAAAAAAAAAAAAACAACAACAAAAACCCCAACCAAAAAAGAGGGGGTAGCCACAAATCCATATCCATTCACTTTCGGAGACTCTTGGGGTATGAGTTCTTTCCCATCTGGTCCCACTTTGCCCTGTTTGTACTGAAATAAAAAAGACAATGCCATTCCTGCAGAGAAAGGTGTGAGTCACCTGTATCTAGCATACACAGTCCTCCTGGGTGATGAACACCACCAGAGACCAGAGTCTAACGAGGTTTCAGTCAGAAGAAGTAAAATTATCCAACCTGAGCATTGAGGGCTGCAGCTTGTTGGAGCTGTGATTTGCTCACAGCTTGGCTAAAAGGGTCCTTCACAAAACGGGTGTTTCGATGGACAACTTCCCTGGGCTTCTTAAATACGTCATCCTCATCAGGTACACCTTGAAAAGCAAAAGGCCTTTTCAGAAAGGGCTCAGGTAAGGCTAGGCAGCGTGCTCTAAAGCTCCTGACCAACCTGGTAACTTGCTACATACTCCTACACAGCACAGAATCCATCAGAAACTGCAGTGTGTACCTCTAGCAATTTAAAACAAAGTCTGCACTAAATAAGTGCTTTGTAACACCTGAAATCTATAAATTAAGGTCAGATTTTTAATTTTTCTTCTTAAGAACACAGTCAACAACTCTACTTTTCTACTTTGCCAGTTTGCAGAAGTTATCATTGTACATTTATAGTCCAAAAGAAAACTGTGTTTACAAAACTATGTAGTTTTCTATAGCAACCAAGGGACCAACAAGCCCGAGGAGCACCCTTTGAACAGAAGCAAAGAATGAATAAAGACAACAAGAAAGTGCTCATAAACAAGATAGACCAAACTGGAAAGAGCTTTGGCTCCTGAAAACAAGTGCTTCTACAACACACATAATGAGCTGCTCAACGACAAACAGAACACAATCAAATTCTGCAATCAGAGGCAAAGGAGCAAGGTCCAAAGAAAGAAAAAAAAAAAAAAAGAGACAAAAAGACTTTTTTACTTTTTTTTTTTTACACAACTTTACACATCTGAGCCTCACAGAAGAACAAGTGCAGTATTACCACTAAGAGCTGCTCAGTCATCTACAGAAAAGCTATAAGCACTGCTTGGAGTCAGCCCACCTAGAACCAATGCCTCTCCTGAGAAACCTGCAGGCCTCACCTGTCGGATAATACATGAGGGTGTTTCGAGCCGTGTACTCCCAGGTCTCCAGTCCGGCTTTCACATTCTCCAGAGCTTGCTGCTCTGCTGAAGGAAGCATCAGGTTCTCATTTCGTCGCTGAAAGGGCGATGGGGGGGGAAAAAAAAAAAAAAATCAGGTCTGAAACATACTCCTGCAATCTTTTAATCAGGCATACACAACTTGGAGAGCTCGATCACGAGCTACCTGCCCCAGCACGCTTTGCAACTGGCAGGGCACAAGCACTCTCTCTCTGGCAAGTAGCATTTGCAAAACCATCCTGTTCCCAGGTGAGCTTGCAAACAACTCCACAAGGCAGTTCTGGTATAAAATCAGGCGAGAAGGAAAGAACTAACTTCTCAGAAAGTTCATGTTTATGACTTTGTCTATTGCATCTTGGGACAACACTTGTGACGCTCCGAACTTTTCCTGTTTTTTCTCTGTCCACTAATCAAAATTCAAACGAAGCATTCGTTGATAGCAAGGGAAAAGTAACACACAACACTTATCTAATATCAGGGCACTCTACAAAGCTTTGGCATGTAACCTTGGGAGAATAGTTGTACCATCCCAGTCCCGTGCAAACTGTGTTAGCTGAGGCAAGCAGGAACAAGAGAACAGACACTTCTCCTACACTTAGAGAGCTTTCAAACACTTCCATAGGCAGTACAGGTATGGAAGCCCTCGATATTCACACAGTTACTCGCACACAGCTACCAGCGTAGCAGTATCACCAATACCAGAAATAAATTAACAGAACCAAGTCAGCCACCAGTAAGTCTCACGCTAATTAAACTACACAATTACTGCCAGAAGCCATATATTAGACATCAACTGATGTTGTCTTTAACAGGTATCATCCACGTACATCTCAATAGCAGCATCATCCATTTTTAAGTTACTTCCCTACACGAGGCACAGTGAAGTTGTCTGCTACACCAACAGGCATGCTGTGCGAGTGCATGCAAGGTCTGAACAGAGTGCTGGCTGACAGGAAGACACACATCGACAGCATGGGACTGGCTTCGACCTGAAATAACCCCTGTGCTTTGGGAGTGTTCTCCTGCTGCCTGCCTTTTAGTTCTGGATGAAAGCATTCGAGCAAAGAAGATACATAAGGAGCCACAAAAGGTATTTTTATTGTAACAGACTCCAAGAGTTTACCTTAGCTGGGATAAAAACACAGCACTCACTCACAAGAGCAGTAAAGACTCATGTGTCAGGGCTAAACTTCATTACAAGGCACTGCAGCTCTCCCCCGTCACTGACACATCTGGCGACAGCGCCAGCTGCTCACAGCTGATGGAGAAAGATCGACATGGCAGCCCCAGAACAGCTTGTGAACCTCCTACAAAGCCACCAAGGAAAACAGCACAGCCAGCTACACTGTGTGCAGTACTGTGCTTCGGCAGCTGAGTGGATTATTACTGATAACAGAAAGAGAAAAATGAAATAAGAAAGACAATTAACTGTGAATAATAACGGGCTGACGAACAAGCAACAGGAACTGTTCTCAGCTGCTCCTCCTGGTATTGCTGTTCATGGGAGAGTCTGCCAAGAACAGCAATACTTGTACTTAGTGCAATGCTTCACAGTCTCAAAGCTTTAGGAAGAGACAGATCCTCAGCAACTGTCAACACTACCCTTGCATTACAGATGGGGAAAAAACAGGACTGCACAAGGAAGCCATGACCTGTCACAGGACCCAGGAAACCCACACTTCACTCAGATTTAGATGTGATCACCCCATGCACCTACTACCTTTCTATTCTTACTCAATAATACGAGTAATTCAACAGCCCCAAGCTCAGAGCCAACGACTTCTCTATCTGGATTTACAGCAGGATTTGAAAACTGATGTAAGATAATATTCTAATTAACCAAATAAGAAAGAAATACAGTAAAATGGTTATTTCCCCATTGTGCCACTCTGGAAGAATGGAAGAGCAGAGATACAGCTGAGCCATCTCCCTACCTGGGCATACTCCTCTTCTGCACCGTACAGCCAAGCATGCTTGACTTTCTCCTTCTCTTTGGCCACTTCCATGATCTGCTCAAATGAAGCATTATCCTCACTTGTGTGTTTTGCCAAAAAGGTGTCCAGACTGGGAAGTGCATCTTTATCATCTTTTTCTGCTTCTCCTAACAAGAGGAGGGAAGAAGCCCAGGAAAGGTTAATATAGCCCTTTCTACGACAGCACTAGACACAACTCTTAATCCCTTCTGACAATGAGCCTTCTATGGACCCACCAGTAATTAACAGGAAGCTTGGTGGAAAAAAAAAAAAAAAAAGATACACACACCAGAGTGGTGTGATAATAAATTATCTTTTGGAAGACATACAACCAAGTTTCACATAAAACCTTTTATGGCATTTACAGCTATTTGTGTTAAAGGGAAAACGTACAAGTAGCCAGCTGCTAGCAGACGTTTTTAATATACTATATGAATAGCTCTGCCCCTACAATCTTTGCTTATTTACTGAATTAATTTCAGGTGATACAGAAAAAAAAAAAAAATTACTGCCTTCAAAAAGATCAACTGAGTTAAGAATTTACACAGCCATAAAGAGACTCATAACCGAGAACTCACACACATGATGTAAAACATATCAAGTTCAACTTCAGAGTGATCATTTTCACCTACTTGAAGGTTTAAGAAAACTGCTTGAACATCTGCTAAACACCCAAAACCCTCACAAGAGACAGATCACAAAAGTATTTTCCTGCTGCTGAAGAATTCAGCTAGAGAAACATCATTCTCCTACCTTCCTCTGCAGCTTTGGTGCCCGCTTTGGTTTTATTTCCCAGTGGAACGCCACCTGGACGCACTTCTGGGGTTTCAAACGTAGCTGGAGTAACATCTGTGGCAGAAAGAAAAGAAAAAAAAAAGACTCACACAGTTACTAGAGCACAGAACAGGACACTTGCTGCAACATCCTCCACCACGGTGAGGGTCATGTGCCAAACAAGTCACAGAAGACATATCAAGAGAACAACAATTTAATTAAAAAGGTGTGAAAAGAACTCCAAGATACTCTATTTGGTTCTGTCCCAATCACTGAACAAGATTTCGCCCTCACCTCAGCCATTATTTTTCTCCTGCTGGGAAAAAGTCACAAGAGAGCCACAGCCAAGCGTCTTTGCCACCCTACCCACAGCTTTGGCCAACAGAAGCAAGCAGCAGCATAACAACCTTAACCCAGGCCAGGGCCAGCACCTGCAGTGTGGAAGTGAAACCACTTGGTGACACATGCCCTTGGCCACCAGAAAGCTAGTGACCTAAACCCCACTCTCAGCGCTCAGCCAAGGACTAGGCTTTTGCATAAGAAACACCTGAACTTGAAGTGAAAACAAACATACAACAGGGTGTTGGCTGCCTGCTGCACGAGCCTCTGATAATCATGAGCTTCCAACACCTTCTGTTCCCAAGATATGAAAATCTTACACACTTGTTGATGCAACAAGAACACTTAAAACTATAGTAACAATTCAAAACACAGCTTAAAAAGTTTCTGATAGTACAATACTGCACATTAGAGCATGCAACATTCCCTAGGGAGCAGGAACTTGGAAAAAGATGCCTATGAAGAATGGTTATTCAGTAGCTGTCTTCTCCATAACTACTCCCTCAAGAAGGGATTATTAGACACCATCAAAGAGAAATTCAGCATCAGCCATCAGACACTGGCTACTGCCCAATCGGGTATCCTAATTTCCACGCAATGTCAATCTCGAATCTTTAAGATAAGCACTGCTGGCATAACATTAGATAAACCAGAGCAATAACATTAAATATAATTTATCTATGCCCCAGTGAGACAGTTCTTACAAGGTGCAGGTGTATCCCTCGATGACTTGCCCAAGGAGGAGCCGAACTTGATAGCAATTTGTCTCATTTTCTCCAAGTCACCGTTTTCTTCGGCCTCCAGATATTCCTTCTGCGCTCGCAACTTCTCCACGTCAGGAAAGAAGTCTCGCTGAATAATTTTCTCTAAACTCTGCAAACAGAAAGACAACTGCAGGGCCGCCCTGGGACGCCTCGGAGTGCCGGCTCAGCTCGGGGCCAGCCGCACGCAGCGCACGGGAAGGA